AGCGCGACTACGAGAAGTTCGTCTTTAACTATAGTTTGAAAAATCAGCTGCGATTTAGAGGTAACCTGGCCGCCAAGGTGTTCCGCCGGGAACAGCGTTACTACGAGCTTTTGGTCCAAAAAAGCATCAATGGACTGGGCGCATTTCCCTACCACCTGGCGGATATCATAACCAAGGGTTTGAGAGTCACACCCTTCAACTACTACCTGGATGTTTTGGGTCAGCTTTTGAGAAGCGACAAAAGCTATGACACTTTGCCCAACTTTACGGCCGCCGATTGTCTTCGAGTTTTGGGCATTGGCCGAAATGAGTACCTGGCCCTCATCAGCGATCTGAAAACCCACACGCCACGCTCTTTGATCTTTGGCTCGCGGCCCAATCCGCTGGACTTCCTGCCACGCTTTCCCGTGCGCATTCACATCGAGCCCTGGTGGCGACTGGACATTGGTTATGTCCTAGAAGCGGACATCAGGTATCTATCGCCCGCAGAACGAGGATTACTCGATGATCTGATCGATTTTGGTGCCCAGCCGGCTGGGAAATGCGATCACGAGGTTGTACACAGTCTGTACAAAAAGGGCTTGATCTATTTGGATGTGCCCATCAGCGGGGAGGATAGAATATCCATCCCACCGCTGCGAAACTTTGTAATGAACCGGGTAAGCGGCGATTACTTTGAGAATCTGTTGTACAAGATTTTTGTCAGTGCCGATGAGCAAATGACCATCGCCGAGCTGGCGCACATGCTGCAACTGGAGCTGGATAGCGTTAAGCATGCCATTTCGTTTATCTGCCGTCTGGGCTTTGCCCACCGCAAACAGGATCAGCTTAATCAGCCAAATCATTCCAGCTGGGAGGGTTACAACCAGCAGCAGTCTCCCGAAACGCCACAGATCACACCGCTGAATTACAACCTACATGCTAGTAGCAGCTTTGAATTCGACCAGAGTCCCAAGTCGCCAAAGACACCAAAGGAAAGGGAGAAGGACAAGGATAAGGACAGCAGTTCCATAGGCTATCTCTCGTCGGATGGCAACACCAGTGACTTCAGCTTTGCCAATCTAAATACCACGCCCCAGGAAAGGATGAACAACAGCGACGAACAGGAGCTGAGTTCGGAGCTAGAACCAGAAGACTTGACTACCACGAAACAGGCTGCTCCTTCAGCAATTGCTCTGCCAAAAAGCGGAAAGAGGGTGGGCTTTCTGTTCGACTCCACGCTCACCGCATTTCTGATGATGGGCAACCTTTCACCCGGCTTGAAGAACCACGCTGTAACCATGTTCGAAGTGGGCAAGTTGTGCGAGGAGAGCCTGGACAGCTTTCTGGCCGAACTGGAGCAGGTTTCACTTCTGGATGCAGAGGGCGAGGGTGATGTCTCCCGCTACTTTGCTCATGCCGTCATTCTGCGCTCTACCATTTGCTCACTTCGACACTTGCTGCCAGGCGGGTTGGATTTGCTGCGATTGGAATGCCTGGAGGGCTTGGATCGGCAGACAAGAGATCGCGTTCTGGAGAAGAAGTACAAGTTTATCATTGCCGCCTCGCCACTGACGGCGTCGCTTAGTCACACATTCAGCATTCCCTATTTTGGCCAATTTCTGCGAAGCTCTGATGTGGCGCCCATGTGGAGCAAGCTTTTTTACAACCATATCACTGGTAAACAATTTATTAATATTATCACATTAACTACATTGTAACAGCTCAATATATTTAGGTTATGGACCGCCCAGTTTGCTGCTTTGCCGAGGAACTATTCTGAAGACCTTGCCGCGCCTATTTTTGGGTTATGGAAAACTGCTGGTAAACATCCTTCATTCCGATTCGTATGTTCTCAACTCGGAGAATTTCCGCAACCTAAACGATCAGCTCAAGAACGGTTGTGTGCTGCTCCAGGGTTATGGAATCCGCACAGCCGGCGTCCTCCACTACGAGTCATTTCCGTTCCAGGCGGCGGACACGCGCCAAGCCAAGTGGGCCGCCCATCGAGCCGTACGCAAACTGTCCAACCTTTTGGACCTGCGCCAGCAGTGCGGCTATATAACATTCCTGAACACTGGGGTGCCTGATCTCGGTTGCGAGGAGTACGAGTTACAGGTGCGATTGAAGCCGGCGCAGCGCCAGAAGCGCTCCTCGATTGCAGCCCCCAGCAAACCGAACCATGTGCCAACCAACGAGGTGACCAGCTTTCAGTTAAAGAGCCCCGATGAAAACCACTTTGCGGCCTCGCCAGAACATGGTCCTGCAAATGAGTTCACCTCGCCGGATTGCAGTCAAGTGCTGGCCAGCGAGTTGGCCAAGTGCAGTAGTCGTGCGGATCTGGTATCGCAGAGTTCCGTGGAGATACCAATGGCTCTGGAGGAGATCGCGCAGGCGACAAATGATGAGGAGGTACAAGAGGATGTCACTGAGGAGTGGACCCTGCTGGACGTTAGTTTTGGCGTTCCACTGTTCGATGTGGATACCAATACGAGGATTTGCGAGCAGTTGGTCCAGAGGCTCTGCAGCGATGCCAATTTGGAGGCCTTGCCTTCGTCCGCCAGCCAGGCGCAGGTTCTTTTCTTGAATTTCGTACAGCAGTGCATGTACTTAGAGGACGATCCGGCCAGGCAACCTGTGCAGGCCATCAGGCCACTTCCTCATCCCAGGATCAACCTGGCCTTCGAGAATGGACACGTGGGCCACTGGAACGGGCGCTAAGTGCGTGGCCTCAATGCATTCCACGAGTATTTCGTATTCCGTTTACTTTCCCAGTTACTTATCAGTTTGTGTATAGTTGGCTGACCGATTTATAAGCAAACAGATTTATATTTATATATACGTATATATAACCGCTACCGCAGTCACATATGCTATCCATCAGCCAAGTCAGCATCGCAGTCTAAAAGTTTGCGTTCGTTTTTTTATTAGTTTTGTAAGCTCCCTATGGAGACAGAAAGATAAAGATTGGCTTTGTGCCCTCCAACCATATACACATGCATAGCTAACATACCTATACAAATAATCTTGTATGTCTGAATAAATGCAATTTTAAAACTTAGAACTTTGTTGTATCTCGAATAAAACACATGCTAATTAATGGGAAGTTTGGTTTTAGAAAGTTTGTAGTTTCATTTGACTCAGAAATGGATAAAACAGACTTATCAACATTTTCCAGATGTTATCTACTGATAACTATAAAAATCATAAGAAGCGAGATTATTTTTTATTAGTTTAAATAAATATTTATATTAATCTCAACCAATCCTCATCCTTAATTACTTTCCCGATCGCACCATGTTCATTTTGTAGGTCAGATTAAATGTTTAGTATAATTTCCTTTTAGATAATACGTATCTTGTATTCAGCAAATCATTATAAATTATAAATTTATTCAACGACTTGTGAAGAAAAAAAATTATAATTATCTAAGGAAAGGATATTTTAAATAGTTAATTATTTAAATCAAAATACCGTTACTTTTTGCCAGCCCTGAGTTATCAACCATGGTTTTAATCCGTTTTAAGAGCACGGTCACACTGAGTCTGATTGGCACAACAAACGAAAAAGTTTGCAATTCCAGGCGCTGTTTTTTGTTGCTTCGTCCAGCAAGTAAATAATTCTCTACGAAACCAATTAATTCTGTAGATAAAAAGTGCAGTTGAGCGAGCTAAAAATAATCAAATCGAAATAGTGAAAAGTGAAAAATAAGCTGTGAAAAGCGAACGCGAAACAAGTGCACGAATTAGGGGGCGAGAAAAAAATTGATGGGGCAGTAAATGCCAATACAAAATTGGAAGAGAGAGGGAGGAAAAAATGAGAGAGCGCGCATTGTATGCTCTCTTTTGTTATCATTTGCGCGGCAATTGTTATTGTTTCTGACAATTAACAACTGTCCAGTCTTAAGTATCAACTTTTTGTGAATTCTCGATATTAAAATTAATAATATAAGTTAGTACACCTGTTCGCGCGAAAAGCGAGAGTAATCGCAAGTGTTCAATTTAAAAATAGCGTTAACGTCGCCATTTGAAGGCCACCTGTCGAGTGCACTGCCTGCGGATATTTGTGCTCAGTGAAGCGTGAATCTGCAGAAAGCGATTCATTCGTTGAATTATCTGATTTGTGTATTGTGTTCTGGTCTGTGTTATTTAACGGGTTAATTAGCTTCTGGCCAGGCCAAAACAATCAATGCGGAGAGCCAAGTAGAGTCAGAGACAGAGAGAGAGAGACAAATAAAAAGAGGGCTGCCATCTCTCTGGTTTCTGGCTCTGGCTTATAAATGGTCCTCAAATAATTTTGTTGAATACAAAATCAGGTGTTGGATTCTATAATGAAAACTATCTGTATTTATTTTAGTCTTGGCATTGACTGCTTATACTTTTTAAAAGAAAAGTTCAATTTCGTAAGGCAAAGTGACAACCCTGAAGTGCTCTGGCAACTCCCAGCTGTTTTTCGTAGAGCTGCCAACTAAGCTATTATGAACCTAAGTCACTCTATTGTAAAGTAAGGAAAACCGCTAATAGTTAAGTTGCTGTATATGTATGTACATTTCGCAAATTTTGTACATCTTTTGAAAACAAATACAATTACTGCTCACCGCGAGTAAACTTTTTTGTTGTTGGCTCCAAGTATATAAATTCGAAACCAATATAGGAAACCGAGTAAAACCCCTAAATGTGACAAAAATTAAAAACCCTGTAAACTTTTGTATTCCTTTTTTTATTATGATTTCATCTTTATTTGTTTTCGTATACTTAATAATTTATTTTTACAATAAAAATTTATCTTTGCATTGTGTCTGTTGGCCATCTTTCAAATACAACTTAAGCTTTTTAACAGCCAGATTTAGCTAACCGTGAAAACAATAGACGTTAACACTGGTGCTCGCTCTCCGTCACTCTCTCTCTCTCTCGGGCGCGACGTCACTTTTGGCCAGGCCAACCGAACTCACGCACACCTGCGACGCTCATTCTTGACTGAATTGCCGTGAGTAAGCGTTGGTATGAAAAACGAGCGCGTGTCGCGAATCGGAAAATCGAGACAAAGATAAAGAAAAGTTCATTATCAAATGCATAAAGAACAACGGAAAAATAAAGCCGCTGAATAAGTGAAAACCGAAAGGGAAATGCTAGTGAAAATTACAACCGGACCCTGCCCTTGAAAGTGTGTATGTGTTGGCCGCAAGTGTCTGCGCCTTTGTGTGCGTATGTGTGCGTGTGCCTCCAAAAGTGTTCAATGTAAAAATAAAATATCCGATTAGGTTTTTTTTCGAGCACAACAAAAGCAACCTTGAAAAGACAGCCAAGAATCTGCCTTTCTGCTTTTCGGCTATTTTTACGCGTTTGGAAATGCCCGAATAGTTTTCCAAGTGTCCAATCGGAAAACACACGTCGCGCAATTGGAAATTCCTTGGCCATTTACCTATTCAACATGTCTCAGTGTTTCCGTTTCCATTTGGGGCGTGATTACGCATCCTTAAGCCAAAGTGTTTTTCAGTTCTTTAATTTACATTTGCGGTCAAAATAATAGTTGAATTCAGTTTGGTTTAACTCGGATTTAAAGTTGTAATATTATCAGATTTTTTTACAGTCCGAGGAAATAAATTAAAAGAGTTTTAAAAGCGTTGTCAGCATATGTACATAAAAATAATAGCAGTGACGCAATTTTAAATGCCTAAAAAAACAATAAATAATTTACATCTTTCTTTTCCTATAACACCGACTAAAAATTTGATTGAGATTTTCTAAATGTATTAAAAATATTTTTAAATGTAGTAGGTTTTTCATCTTGAACATCTTTTTTTTATCATGCTACAAAGTTAAAAAGTAATATTTTAAGAAATGTTCTTATCTGGTAGTAAACCTACGACAACCACAATTATTCTGACCGCATCTAAATGTAATTTTCACACCTCCGTTCGTCAGGTAAAAAGCAACCCACTGGAATTCACTTCACGCACAAAACGACATTAGAACGCAGCAGGATGTGGAAAGTGTAGTAGAAAAGGCAGCAGACAACACGCAACGAAGGGCGGAAAACGTGGAAATGACTAGCTAATTAATTAGCTAAGTAGGCAAAGAAAAGCGGCGAAAAAGGTGTACCTTCTAAACCAACAATAAATTCCGATTTGTTGAAAAATTTATACCCAGCCAAGGCTTAAAATGACATCATACGCAAATGACACAACGGGCGCAGCAACAACCACAGCAACATCAGCCGCAGCAGCAGCAGCATCAGCTGGCGCAGTAGGAGCCGCAACAACAGTAGGCACCGCCCCCCAATCAGCTGTGGGGGGCGTGGCCACTGCAGCTGATTCATCCAAAGTCAAGAGCCGCGACAATTTGTCCATTAGCCGTACAATATATGGCGACGAAGATGGCAATAGTAGCGATGGACGCGAGAAGGCCGACACCACGCCGGAAAATATCAAGAAAATCGCCGAAATCATGGACAGTCCGAATGGCACGACCTCGGCCAACTCGCCCATCCCCTCCCCCCGACACGTGCAACTCAGGAATCCAATGAATCCCGGCTACGTGGGCCTCGGGGCCGCCATCGACATCGACGAGTCCTGCGGCAAGTTCTGTCTTGGCAAGCCGCCACCATCGCCGGCCGAGAAAGGTGAGATATCCCAAGTACAGGCTTACTTCGCAAATATAACTCCACCCAGGGTGCATTTTTGGGTAAAAATTTCAATATACCCTTATTAACTAGCACTAGATAGCCATCAGAAACTATTATTTTTTAAAAAAAATTTGAATAACCCTTGATAATCAATATCTATAAATCACTATAATTGATCAAATATCAGATATTTAACTAAGCAATATATATATTTTTTTAAAACTTTAAGAAGTTATTTTAAAGCATTATTTGTGAAAGGAAGAATATACTTCAAAATCATGGCTTTCAAAAGTCATTTATCATTTCCTTTGAAGGTTTTTCTATACTTTGAGAAACTTGTAATCTCTAATAGGAGTTTTTACATATCTTTAAGAGAATTTAATTTTTTATTTTTAATTAATAACCGATACCTGAAATGACAGTTCGAGTACCGAAAATTTAAACGATGGATGTTTAAGTTACAGAAGTTCGACTGTATAAGTAAAAGATAGCAGCAACCGCAAAGCCGGCGACAATTAATGGCTAATTTAACCATAGTGTTGTTGCTCTGGCTTTTGTTGTTCCAGGTTGTGGCTTGTCTTTGCCTTTTTTTTCTTTTGTTAATTTGAATTTTTAATGAAGTTATTTTGTGCGAGTCTCTGGCCACGACTAAGCGCAAATATTTATTGCAATAGTCATGCCTGGCACTCTCAAAGCACACCGAAACACACACCCTCATACACACCTCGTTTATGTTGTTGTTCAGATTGGCACAGTGGGCCGAGTTAGGTTGAAAAGCAAGTTCTTACTTCTGGTTTCGAGAAAGTGGAACGGGATCAATAGCCTGCGAAAGCGGCAAGTGACATCAGCTTGCGGGCTCTTTTATATTTATGGCCCTATGGCACCAAACTAAGAAGTTGCCAATCTTGAAATGTGCGAATATATTCTTCTCCTTTTTGGAAAGTCCGGAAATTCTGATTTCAAGTTTTTTTTAATTGCGCTTCTGCTGAAATGGCAAAGCGCTATTGCAAACATGAAATAACCGAGGAAAAAATCAATAGATTTTATAGTTTTCTATTTGAAATTATCAGGATAAACTATGGAGAAAATTCCTATATCTTGTTTTAAGTTTATCATCATCTAAATGAGTTTTTCTCATACACTAAATAAAAGAAAAATAAAAATGTCTATTTCGAAAGCAAAGAATAAAAGATTTAGACTGTTTATTTTCATGAGTTGGATGTTTACATGTGTAAAAAAAATTTATTGATTTATCTGTTTCTATTATTCTTCGCTTTTGTATTGGTTGAGACTCAGTCGTTTCTAATTATTTTCTGTAAAACATGGTTTTGGCTATTATCCAAAATTAAAATTCAAAGGAGCAACACATTTCAGTAAAAATTTCAGCAGACTACTTTAAAACTTCAACAACAGTTCTTAAAGAAGACAAAAGGCATTATAAATATTATGTTTTTCAATGCAAATTCCCGAACAAGGCATTTGTTAAGGGTAAACAACTTTCGTAGTTGATTTAAAAATATAACCAAAAACATATTTTTACAATTAAACAGCAGATTGCCTACCCGAGTTTTATTTACGTTTTCATTGAACTGTTTGCGCATATGTGTGCTGCATTCCTTTGTTTTTAATGAAATGATTCTGGTTAATATTGGCAAACCTGACATAAAAAAGTAACCTGGATCGGATCGCAGTAACCTCCGATCGATCAACGCCCGCAGCTGCTGCTGAGTCATTCACTTCCACTTTAAGCTACTCAGTCACAAATCTGTTTCACTTTTTGAATTTTTTATTTTGCCAATGAGTTGCGTGCAAGGAATGAAAATGTGTGAGATAATGACGCCGACGGCGACTGCTATAATTGTGTAAGATTTGGCAAGCTCTGCGAAAAGAAACCAAAACTGATAAACATTGTGAAATGGGAGATTTATGAAAAACAAATCAGCGCACTTGACGGAAGGGGTAATCGAGCGGATGGGCCTGGGAATTTAGTTTCTGATTCTGGTACTTGAATAATGGCCATAAAATACTTGACAATAAGAGACGAAGTGTTGGCCAACTCTGCGTAGAGGGTATTATGTCACCCGCTCAACTGATTCACTGTATCGGAATGTCTCAGCGTATTTGAAAGTGTTACATTTTAAAGTGTGGTTGAGATATATCAAAAAAATTATCTCCGAGACAATGTTTTTATTTATTTTTTTAAAAAACGAATAAACCGTTAATTTTGCACTTCTTATTAATAAACAATGCACAATGCTTATAATGTATTCATACATATTATCTCTCTGGTCACGTGCAACATAAGTTCTAGAAACAATTTGTATTCTTTTTAGCTCATATAGCTACACATACCAATCAAATATAAATTTGAGGCATTAATTCTTGGCAAACACCCAAGAATCAAACAGATTCAGAACAAATCTCTTGGTGTTGGCCTTGTTCCCAAATTGATAATGTTTTGGGCATGCTTAATTATTTGTATTATTCAATTTGTATTCTTTTTTAATAACCCATCAAGAAATGTCTTCGAAATATTTCAAAAATGTTGTATTAATATAAAACAGTCACAAAGAATAAATATCTTAATATTATCTATGATTGATGAACATTTTGAATATTTTAAGGACAGGGACCTATAAGACTTCAAGATGTTTTTGAGAGTTTAAAATACGTTTAATAATTTTCTGTCAAATAATGAGATTCAAAATCACATTGGACTACTTCCCATCAATTTTCTTCTTCAACTCGAGCACCACAATATCTCAAGTATATATTTTAATGCCCCGTAAACGACAAACAATCGACGATAGATAATAAGGCGCAACAAATGGCCGCCAGTCGATGACCTCATTCGCAGATGACAGATGATGATGATCACCGATGGCTTTCTCTGGTGTCGCCGTGCGGCAAAGAAATATAAATAAATTGTTAATAACATTTATTTAAATGTGAGAACTTAACCCACTCGAAAGGCAAGAAAATCAAACCAAATGAATTGGGTAACCAAAGACTGCGAACCGAAATTATATGTCTGATTGATCGGTGATGACGTAAGCTCATAATGCAATTAGCGAAACCAATTTGAAACCAATTGACCAGCGTGAGAGAATTCGTGATCGATTTCCGCTTTGCATTCGCCTGATTATCTTAGACTGCACATTTGCAAACCGAAATTTGGTAACACTCGGAACTATGTTTAGGGAAAAGTAAATGATCAAAAATCAGCGGGCGGTCATACAATTTCCTCTGCTCGACTTTCCCAAACGAAAAAAAAAAAAACAAAACAAAAGCAGCTAACTGACCGACAAAAAAAGGGAAATATATATATATATATATATATTTTGCACTCCAACAGTATTTTGTTAAATTTATTGCGAAAGTAAAAGCGACTACACAACGGCTACCAAATAAAACCCAACAAAAGACTTTTGAACGAGCTCTACTACACGCGGCAATGGCAATAGTAATAATAATGGCAATAACACAATAATACCCGACATTTGTGTGTTGTGCCAACAGTTTTCAATTGTTGGCCCATAGAAAGATCGTCGGCAGGGAAGCAGTGGGGGAAGTGGGGGGATTCGGAACGGGGGACCCGCCGATAACTCGATAGAAGACATTTTATGGCCATGCACAGTGGGCAGCGTAATTACCGTTAGTGAGTCGTTACCTATTGTGGTCTATTGTCTATCGGTGATTGCTCCGCTCTTTGGAAGGGGAAATATTTCCTGCCAAATTAGATTGCAAATTTTGCTATCCAACAAGCGAATAATGTCGTTCTAGATTCATGCCAAATTGCAACTTCCTTAATACATTCCTATACGAAAATGCCCTTGTGAAGTGAAATATTCCTTATGATTTCTTATAGCTTACCATAAAGATGAGAATACCATATAAAGAGCAATTTAATAACCCGTTGGTTATAATATGGGGTTTGAAGCCATCTGTGCTCCATTTATTGCTTACAATAGACCACATTGTTTTGTGACTTAATGACAAATAAATGCATCTATAACTTGAAGTTAAAGAACAAGCTCTATTTCCTTCAAAAATTAGAGATCAGTTTTAGTGCAAGCTTTAGATGCATTTTAAAAAATAAATGTTTTATTCCATTCAATGTCTGAGAGAAAAAATAAAATAGAATGCATAAAAGATAAGCTTATTTAAAAGGTACTGCGGTTGTTAAATTAAAAAGCAAACAATCACTGTGTAAATAAAAACAAATTGTGGAAATCTGAGCTAAATTTCACATTCGTATTTATGGGAAATTGAGAACAAAGAAAATATGCACATTTTTCCTTTATGATTCCGATTAAGCAGCTGCGTTTGAGGTTGATATCTGAGAATCTCGTTGGGGTATAATTACAGTATTAAATTAAATTGTGCCAATCAAAAATGAGTAAGCTTAATGCGGAACCATTTCTTGCTACTTATTAAACTAATAACATCTTCCATTTAAATACTGCAATTTTCTGCGAAGATGAACAAGATGCTAAACATTAATTATAATTTTATGACTAATAGTTATTTTGATATACACAAGAGTTCTCAATGAAGAAGATATCATTAACTTCACACCCAACAATAAACATTATCACCTTGACTCCTTATTTAATTGCCCATCTGCATAATATTATTGAATGCCAAAAAATATATATTGGTCGTGACCAAAAACTTGTTCAAAATAAGGCTGTGAAATCTATGGTAAATATGGATATGGATTTGAAACATATTTCCATGGCTAGCGAAACGGAAGTTCCATGGCCAGCAAAGTTTGGCAGAGCGTAAAAGTTTTGTGGGTCTGGCCCGTGGAACAACACCCCCCTCCCCCCTCGAAAAATAACCTGCAATTGACCGAAATCACCGAACTCTAACCTTCACTTTCCGGGCAGCCGACCGCCTTATATAGCGTACGTGTAGAAGCTACCCATCCATAGATCACGATTCTGAGAGGCGGCGGCCCCCTAGATGGTCTCCCACCTCTATTGCTCCACTCGGTGTATGTGCTTGTGCCACTTCGCGTGGCAGAGCTGAAAGCAAATTGTTTGATTTTCTTTTTGCCCGTGCTTTGGCCGCGGAAATGTATAGAAATTGTTTGCGGAAGCGGTGAGGGATCTCCTCGAGCTGCAGGTGGGCATCCCGGGGCCCTTGAATAGGGTGAACTTGCTAGAAAGCTATAGCTTCATATTGTCATCCGGGATGGTGCTTGATTACATGTTTCCTTATTTGTCTTGAAGCTGAAATAGCCATATCACTGATGTTACTCAATTGTCTAAGATTTGGTGTTGTTTTGTTTTTTTATGATTCACAATCAATTTGTAGGTGTTTCTTATATTTGTCAAAAAAATATTCAAATTATCCTTATAAGGCTTACAAACAAATATGATTTAATTAATTAATTTTTCTTTTCTCTAAATATACATATATGGTAAATGAGTTTGTTAATTGGTGTTAAGTGTGATGGTTAACACAAACTTACAAATACAAAACTAAAAAATTTAAAACTTACTTAATTTTCTAAGATTTGTTTTAACAAAGTTTTTAAATAAGAAACAGTTTGCTAATGCCGAAAATTTGGTATTTCTTTTTTCTTAATAATAAAATACGTATTTGATTTTGAAGCACTTGAAAATGGTATATAAAATGAAATATTTGTTTCTAAAGAATTTGTGGTCATCATTCTTATGATATTCGGTTTAAAATTTATTAATTCAAATAGTTTTCTTGAATATAAGAAAAACATTTTATATGAGTCAATACATTTTATAATAATTAAGCAACGATTATAATCAATTTAAAATAAGTCTATTCTGCCATAAAATCAGAGCCGGTCCTGAATTTCTCCACTTTTCTATCTCTTTTCTCGTCCGCTTGCCACTTCAGTTGCGATCAGTTGAGTTCAGTTTAATTTACGCCAGCAGCTTAGTTTCGTTTTCACCGCTTAAACGCTAATAATAAAAAAAAATAATAATAACTGTAAATAAATGCTAATTTAATTGTGTGTATGTTTGCTTCTTTTCTGTTCCATTGCAGCGGCGGCACAAAGCAGAGCGAACCATCAACATGGCACTCCAGCCGGCAACAGCTACTCCAACACCAACCATAAATCCGCTGCCGATGAGGAGGAGAACTCGAGCGAGTCGAATGCAACCACGAAAGCGGCGCTAGCCTTCACCATTGATCATTTCGATGCCTCGGAGAACGATTCTGCGGCTCAGGCGGCGCGCTACAAGAACATGATGGAGCGTTTCCAGAGTCGCCACAAGCGAGGTGCCTCCATGTCGAAGCTGGAGACGGAAAAGGATAACACCACGACCACCTCGATCAGTGGACGGCAGTCGCAGAGGAGCAGTTTGGATGCAGGCAGCAGTATGGCGGATGATCTATCCTCGCTGACGGCAGCCACGCCCAGTAGCGAACAGGCGCCTCCGGTGCAGGTGAAGATGCGGGTGCGGGACCGCAGTGCGTCCCGGGTGAGAGACGCTTCCAAGCGGCACAGTTGGTCCCCGAGGAGTTCGGCCAATGCGCCGGAACCAAGTGCAGCACCTGCTGCTCCCAGACCCACAAGTCGATCCAAACTGCCACCACCGCCGGCGGCGACCAAGGGAACCTCCAATCTGGTGGCCAATCGCACGACCAACCAGTTCACACCCCGCTCCACCGCCATGCAGTTGGCACTTCGCCAGGTGGAGATGCTCTGTCCACAGCCACCGCTGGCGGATGGCAAACCGCTGGCCGAGAATGATGCAGTCAGCGAAGCGGGCACCTACACCCTCGATGGGGATAACTATACGGAGGAGCAGAAGGATCTCATGAACATCGATAGAAATGGAAAGGGAGCGGGTGCCAAGCAGCGTCCCAAACAATTGCCAGTAAAATCAAACCGGGGAAGCAATGTCCTGGAGGTGAACTACTACCATGAAACGCCACTACAGGAACAGCTACCACAGCAACTGCCAGCTCAAAGGAGCTCAACAGGTCAGGAAACTTGATACAATACGTAGTTGAGATCTTTGTTATAAAGAAATTTTAAGTCTAATCATTTATCAAAGATCTTAAAAAAATAACTATTCTCTTTACGCTTAAATATTAGGATTCCAAGTAGTAATGAAGAAATGTTTGTGAGATTTTATTAAATTTTTTATATTAACATGGAATATCTATAAACTTGTTTACTTATTTTTAACTTAGTAGATACAGCTGAAAAGTTATAAATTAGTTTTTTCCTTCAAAATAAGAATTTTTATTGACTATTTGTTTGATTTATATTACAAAGTTACAAAGATTTTAATTAGTTTAATATTTTTAAATAAGGATTGCAGGTATACTAAAAAGTTTTCTGATTTTCTTTATAAAATGTGTACTGATATCGGTTTATTTTTCGGCAGGTGCCTATCTGGATCAACTAAAGAGTCGCGTGCTGCGTCCGCAGATTCCCGCATCGCCTCCCACTCCTCCATCGCCGGCAGGAGATATGGGCTGCTTTACTAGTGTGACCACCAGCGGAGTGCTGGCCAAACAGCGGGCCTTGGATACCCATCCCAAGCTCACCCGCCACTCGCACAGCTTGTCCACCTCGCAGATCGACAGCTCGGAGTACGTGAGCAATGAGGCTAAACTGCGGCACACACAGGCCTTGTCCGGATCGGCTACGGATCGCCAGAAGGCCGAGTACCGCCTGAATGTGTTCACTACTAGCACCAATCAGCAGCACCAGTTGCCGGAGACACCCACCACGCCCACCCAGAACTCGGAGGCCGCCCTGCTGCAGACGGCGCAGACCAAGCAGGACTGGATCCAGGAGTGGGCCCGCAATGCCCGAGCCAGGAGTCTGGCGCAGGATGTGAGCGGCACAAGCGCCAGCCGCCGGAGGCAGCAGCAACAGCAGCAGGCCCAAGCGCAGGCACAGGTAAGTTTTGGCCAACCGGTTTCGCACGGGATTCGAGCTGCAGACTGTGATAAATGAATTTATGGAAAAATCCCATCTGATTGGTTAAATCTTGTCTGGTTAGTTTGGCACTGAGTGACTCACCTTTAGATTGAATATAGGAGGATCTCACTTATGTATATTTATTACCCAAAGATTCGATTTCATGGTTTATAACCTTAAACACAAAAAATAAATTTTAATGTTTCAAATGTTTGGATTATATTTGTTTTATACAAAACTAATTGATTTCTAGATACTTTAAAAAGAAATGTTTGCTTTTTTTAATCTTTCTTTTAAGCCTTTAATCACAGTCGGATTAAAACTGTATTAGGCGAATTAATTGTGTTATTTATTTTGATTAACAGTAGTGTTTCCATATTAGCCAAGTTAAAATGACGTATAGGTTATTTAGCAAGCGTTGTTTACCTCATCCTATTAACAATTGTAGATTAGATTGCTAATATGATTCATCACAGTCATTTTGCAATCATATTGTTAAACAACTTTGTTAAATCTGAGTGTTTTTTTTTTAAATAACTTCATTGTTCTGAAAGATAAATAAATATTTTTTTCAATAAATAGCTATAAAATAATATCTGAATGAAAAAGTTAAAAACAAGATAAATATTTGGAGTTACTTTATTTAAATATTTAAAAAACCATTTAAAAAGTTAAAGACAAATTAAATATTAGATTAGATTTATTTACAAACAAACTCATTTTTATTGTTGTTTAAACATACATGGGCTTGACATATGATGTAAAATAGGTGGACACTGTTAGCCCGGACATAAACCATTGCGATATTAAAAGTACAATATGAAGCACACTTTTATGGGCAGTGTGAAGATAGGTTAAATATGGTTATTATATTAAATGTTAGAAGTAACTTTGAAAAATAAAAAATATATCAAACCGTGTTAATTTAATACAGCTTAAAATATACAACCAATCATTTTCACCAACTCTGTTCCCTAAGATGGAATTCCATTCCTCATTTATGCTAGTGTAAATGTGCGATTGTTTATGTATTAACAATGGTTTGTTTTACTTTTAGCAACTAATGACACGCAGCTACAATTGCTCGGACACGTGCGGCGACTCCTTGACGGATGACAGCCTGAGTTTGTACAACCAGCAGCGACAGTATGCGGCGGCAGCCAAGCTCAATCGCAATATGGCCGAGCGGTATCGTCTGCTGGGCGACTGTGACTACGCCAGCGATCCGGCGTTGTGCAGCCATGGCGGAGGAGGCGGCGGTCAGATGGTGGAGCCACCCTACAAGCCACCCAAGAGTCCCAGCAAGATTCCATCGCCGCTGCACACGCTGGGACGTGCGCGCAGTGCCAGTCGCCCGCGTCCCCCAACGGATGCCTATTTGGAGCAAACAGCTGCGGCTATTAGTAACCTGCAGCAGTCACTCTCCCGCAGGAGCTCTGTTAAATCCCCAGCTCAGAGTAGTCCTCAGCATAGCTTGGAATCTGGAATGACCGCCGGAGCAGGCGGCGGCTATAGACGATCTCCGCTGCACCGGGTGCTCATGACCAGCAGCATCAACGAGGCGCAGCTGCAGTTGCTCACCAGTGGCGAGTACCTTCTCAAGCAATTGCGTCGCCGGAAGAACTCCCTGGAGTATGATCCTAACCAGGAAGTGGAGCTGGTTGAGCCAGCTGCTGCCCCCTTGTCGCCGCTGCGTCGATCGAGTAGCTTCCAGCAGCAGCAGGGTCAGCATCCAGTGCGTCAGGCGCGTCCTAATTTCCAGAACCTCTACACACCGCCCGCTGCCCGTCACGCCCACGCCTTGAGCACTGTTCACCAGCAGCAGCAACTGAAGAAATCCGCCAGCAGCAACAATTTCGAGCAGGCCTACAGCGACTACGATAATGAGTTGCAGTATTATATAAACGATGAGGATGAAATGGGCACCACTGGGGCTTACTATTCCAGCAACGAAGAAGATGAGGCAGAGGAGAACCATGAAGACGCCCAAGGCTCAGTTCCGCTGAGTAATACGCGCATGAACAAGGCCCTACTGATGCGGATCGAGAGGAGCAAACAAAAGGTGGCTGGATCACAGGCTCCAGCTAAGCCCACATCAGCACCAGCGGGCAAGCTGCATATGGCACAAAGTGGAGCTGGTTTGGTGGCCTGTCCCAACACTCCAGAAATGCCGCGTCGAGGAATTAAGAGTGCGCCGAGGGTGGCTCCAGGATCGGGCAATCGAAACACCCGACAGTCAATGCCCAGGGAAACGAGCCTCAGTCGATTGGCCCAGCAGGTGCCCAGTTCGCTGGCCAATGCCAAAAAGCAGCTGCTGCAAACGGCCAATGCTGGTGTGAACTCCAATTCGAGGGATCAGCGCGTGCAACCCAAATACCTGGACATCTCCAAGTACAAGTCGGCGCAGTCCAATAATTTTCTGCGCAAAAATGACGCCAAAAGTACGCTGAAGCCAGCGGATCAAATGAAACGAAGTCCCAGTGCATCTTCCATGGGTTTGAGTCGCGGCGAGGGAACGCGGGCCAGTAATCGGAGTGTGCGCAGTACTGCCTCCGCGATGAACACCAGCACAACATCTCTAGGTGGCGGAAATCCTGGATCAAGAAACTCGTCTGCTATGCGGCGCGACGCTTCAAGTATAATATTGTTATTTTTTTAACTCCTACAAATGATTGGCTAACATAATCTCCAATTGATTGCAGTGAACAAACAAAAGGAAGCCGAAATGGCCATGTGGAAGCGTCGATCCACCTACGATCCCATGAAGGCAGCCGCCGAGGATCGACGCAGGAAGGAAGAAGCGCGACGTGCTCAAAACGAAGCTCAGCGACAGATTAACGACGAGGCCGATGATATGCCTTTTGAGAGGTAAATTAGACGGTCATTGGATAGATCTTTCATAGCTTTCATAGATAGATCTCTTTAGGTGACCTCCAACGTATTTAACCCAGTTTTTATAGATGATATAGAGATACCAAGTTATTAGACTTCGTTAGATAAATTTATATTATTTAACTTAGAGAAGAAACCACATTTTCTTTTTAATTATTAAGCCAATATTAAGAAAAGGGATGTGAGCTTAAAATATAAACATTTCGACTCTTTTATTCTTACTCTAATAACACTTTCAAATTAAAAAGTATTAAACTTTTTAACAGATCAAGACTGTTTTCCATTGAAGAATTCATTTAGAAGGTATAGATTAATAATACAATTTTATTTTTTAATTCAAGTAAGGCTAAGTATTGCTAACTTGTCCTTCTAGATCGCTCTAGATAAACTTCTAAATTCTTTATACTTAATTTTAACTTAAAATAGTAAAAAGTAAATTAACTTGTATCTAATAGTGTGATTCGTATATGAACAAACATTTTAGATTTAAATCTAAGTCTGAATTTTTATTCGTACACCATTCTATAATTATTTAAAACATACTTTTAATTATCTGAACTTGATTTGTAACCTTTATTTTGGTTCTTTTATTAGCTTAAGGTTGTGGGTAATATCGCGGCTAGAGGTAAAGGTGCGTTATGGAAATAGACAAATATTTTATCTGTAATCCAACAATCTCTCATGACTCACTCCTAGTTGAAATTTTTGATTTATCTTGATTTAATTAAAGTAGTGTCCAAGTAACGAGTTCAGTATTGAATTTGTAACCCAACACCGCCCAGTAATATCGGATGAATAGGAACTAAGTCGTAAATGATCCAGCATTCTGTACTTATGATTTTGCTAATTGATTTCTTCTCTTTTAATTTCTGTACACCCCAAAACACAACACCACCACTACCAATCAACACTACGAAAACAATCCAATAACAATCGGTAGACCATCACGCTCCCACTATCGCCGTGGACAGTTATGACCAACGGATGGTGTGCTAGTTACCGATTTCTGAGCCATCAACCTACACCTAAACATTCAGTTGACTATCTTTCCACGAAACCTAAATAGAAAACCAAATACTTTCCACTACAAAAACATGCCACACGATCTAACACGGTGCAAGCAGCAGCGGCAGCAGCAGATTGTATCACTAGGATCCAATTCTAGTGCCAGATACAATCGCCAAATCGAATCGAACAACGATCATTTTGAGAAGGGATCTATCTCGCGTAGTATCCACAAAAAAAAACGATTTTCCAAAGCAACGACAACTAGAAACAAATATAAAATTACGACAGCCAACCTGCAGACGATTGTGGGGCTATCATTTGCCAATGTAATAGAGAATTCTTCAAGAACCAGTAGTAAATTTACTGTTGAATATTATATGCATAAATATAAATCATTTCGTTGTTGTTCGCCGTTGTGCAATTGTCTCGACCAATTTGTTTGTTCGTCAGTTTGTTAGTTACTTTGCCTTGTGCGGCTTCATTTGATTTTGTTTGGCTGAGCAACGAATTCGACCAATAAAATGCGCTTGAAGATTGAAAACTAACCGCATCAATTCTAAATTTATATTCAAATTATTAGAGAGATTTCTTGAACTGAATATGTTTTCTATTTTTCAAAGAATTTAAATCTAATAAATCTCAATCCGTTTAAGAAATCACTCAATCTGCATCAGTAGCTCATTAGGGAATTTGAAATTGAGGTGATTAACTATTGATTGATGTGAAGTATGAAATTATAAATACAATTGGTATTCAACTAATTTGAATGCTTACTTCGTGTTATAATCATTAAAAAATATTTATAAAATTAATTAGAACTTCTTGTTTCTGTTTATAAGGGACAATCTACAGACAAGACCAATTTCTGTGCTTTTTAAAATATTTTAATTTTGTTAAGTCAAAATCCTAAACCTAAAATTTAGTTGGCACTGATTGTTTTTCATACTTTCACTGAGGCAATTCAAATGTTAAAAGCCCATTATCAATTTCCGAATTTTTCAAAATTATAAAGTCAACCGTTTGCTCTGGCAATTTCAAAAAAAATTCTTCATTACTCTGTAAATTGCTGCAACCCTAACTATTTAACCAACCATATAATAGTACATATTTAGTTAATATTTCTCAAATGGTTTTGTAAAGTGTACAAATGTTTGTCCTGTTTAATGCCTAACCGACATCACATTTAACATGCCACTCCTTAACCAACCTAACCACGAAACCCGCTAACCACACATAAACCAGTCAGTAGAACAAGCTAACACATAGACAATGATTAAAAGCTTTCTTAGAAATCGCTAGAATAAAACTCACCTGAGAACGAGAAAGAACACATCACATACCATCCAAATTGTTTGCATTTCGAAATATGCATATAAAAATATTAATATATTATATTTTTGAAATTAAATTAAATATTAACAAATTGTTTTCCACATACAGTGTCCTGCGCCCAGCCAACAATTTAACCATCACGAGCGGGGGCAACAGCTACAGTCCTCGAAACTCCGTGGAAAACGACGCCTGGACGCTTGGTGAATCCTCCGAGTTTGGGGAATATCCCGATGACTACGATGAAAACGATGAGGTGGAAGGTGATGAGGAGATTGACTACGTAGGCCAGGAATCCGATGAAGTTTTTGAGGCGGAATCCGGCGAGGCTGCGATTCAGGGCACACAGTAGGACAGCAGAAAACAAAACACACAACCAGCCACAGTGATAAATAATTCGATATATACATAACTATATATATATGTATAACATATTGTATTTCTTAGCGATCGATGTTGCGATATAGGCATAATCTTCTCTGAGTTTCATTAATAGATTAGCTGACATAATTTTCCCTTGGCTTATTAAAATGAAGTTTATAATTTGAACACTGATAATCATCGAATAATCCAATAAACTGAATATGTTTAGCGAAAAAAAAGTTACTCACTTCTGATCTGTCCATATGCCATAGCAGAAATGTTTTTAAATGTTCAAACAAATTGTATTGCCTAAATATTTACTCCTGAAATTTCAGTTTAATTTATCAATTCAACACATACACAAAAAAAAGTTGAACAGAAACTGAACAAACCAAAAATAATCAGAAATGAGTTCTATAATTTTTAAATGCTTCTTGGATTGCTAAAAGTGTACAAATATTATTCAACTAAATGGGATATATTTTAAATAGAAATTCTAACAATGTCAGTTATGGTGCAAATGACTTCAATACAAAGAAAAAATACTCAGATGTGACCTAGGCTTAGTGAAGGGCTAGAAATGGAAATTATGTCGGGCCGAAATGACTGCAATCAAGTGCTAAACAAAACAATATAATTTTAAGAATTGCTGACCCAAAACACCGGGAAAACTGACCAAAAGGAATTGATTTGTTTTGTGATCTGAGCTAATTTCAATGCGTTCGATATTCAGACCTTACTTTGCCTAAATACGATTACTGGGAGCTGCCCAAGGAATTATTTTGTTTTCGGTAGGATTTTGTAGTTACTCATGAACTCTTATGTCTGTAGGTTTTTTACATATACATACATATATGCGAACACTCGATGGAAGGTAGCTTACATAACAAATTATAATACGGTCTAGTTTTATATATGCATACAACACACTAGCTGAGTACTTCTTATACAGACGTCTATATATAATATATATAGTACCATATAAATGGAGCAAATGTGGTAGTCGCTTTTAAACCAACTAAATTGTTAAAATATTTGTTCTTTGAAGCAGACAAAATAATGTCAAATATCATACAGTGGTGACGGTGTCCATAATTGCAACTGCTCCCTGGATATTAAATGGATTTGAGTTTATTTTAAAAACTATTGTATTTTTTTGCAGTTGGTATTTTTAAGTAATATCTCAGAATGCCCAAGTCAGCTTAAGCAATAGACAATATACTATAAACAAAGACTTTTTCTAAATAGTTTCAAAATGTCCAACGAAAAAGTTCAGGAGCAGTTGCACGGTTTTAAAAATTATTATTTAAAAAAATATATATATTTTAAACGAATTAAATTGTAATGCAAAGAAACTAAACAACAGCCGTCTAAAACATTTTTAAAATTTGTATATTTTAAGTATTTAAAAAGAGAGGAAAGAATTGTTTTTTGTATTGTGTCCTATTTCTTGTTATTTTATTTCTCCAATAATTTTAGATAAACCAAAATAAACGAAGACAAAAATAAACAAACTTGACGAAACAAAAGTGTTGTTTTGATTGAAATAACTTTCAGGTTCAACGAACGCTAATAAATTTAAATGAGATTATGCGGTATACGTATAAATAATATCGCAGACTCTTTATATCCATGAGACAATACAAATATGTACGTTTCATAATAGGGATCCGGAACCAAAATTTACTTACTTTCAGTTTCTAGCTAAACAAATGTATTTTAAATCACAATTATGGTAAGGTTGTTGATTGTAAAATCTCTTCCAAAGATTCCTAACTATTTATTATGTAATCACACCATAAAAACGTCCATAACTTTATAAATGAATATATTTTTTTTTTTTATCTAACTTGAATATTAATTAAATTCTATCTCAATTCAGTTCAAGGCCTAAATGTAACGAATGTTATGGATATATGAATGTAAACAAAGTACGAAAGTGGAATTTGTGAAATGCGGACTCTTAGATAAACACTGAATTTTAATTACAAAACAAAAACAAAGCAATATTGTTTTATTCAAGAATGTCAGACTGAAGTGTGGGTGTTGTTGCTGCTAAAAATTGTAGAGAGACGAAGGTGCCTTGGGGGGATAAAAAGGAAACGTCAATTGGATTTTGAATAAAACTGAAAGCGCAACCAAAACAAAGCAAACAACAAATCAGCAGAGTGACGACTTTGAAGTCGAATCAACTTGCAAAATACTCAGAGAAAAAAATAATGATATATATAGGAAAATAAAAGTTTTGGCTTTCATTTTAAATTTATGGAACAATACATTTTAAAACTAGTACAACTTGCTTTTAGGCATCATAAATTGAATTAAAACTTCAAAAAATAGATTTTCTATTTAAATTTAATTAACATTTCGCAAATTACCAAATGGGTAACCATATTTACATTTTGTAAATTCAAACTTTTTGAGAAACAAAAAAATCCTTGTTTTCCTTCATTAAAGAATAGCTTCAAATATTTGTGATAGGGAAAACTAGAATATGGTCAATAATTCCATTATTTTTGATTTAAATAATTTTCCATGAATCGTTTGCGTTCGTCCTCGCGAAACTGGCGACGTGCGGCCGCTGACTTTCCCTGGGGATTACGTATGACCGCAGCATTTTCGCAGTAATCCTGGGGATTGTAGGTTGGAGCTGGTGGCTCGGCATCCCAATCTTCCTCTGCCTCAACCAGAAACTCATTGGCTCGCGGCTCAGCTGGTGGCAAAGCATCCGGCAGAATGTAGCGCTCCAAGGTCGAGCGATTGGGGCACACGGTGACATGATCCTAAAAAGTTAGGAATACCACATATTAAACCATGTTCGATACGGTAAAGTTTAGTTCCGGACTCACCTTCATATCCGCTACCGAATGCAAATGAGTTGAGTTAAAGGGGCAGTGCACCATCTTAGCGGCTGGAAAATTCTTGGCGCAGCGAGTTAAATGCCAGGCCAAACGAGATGGCATTAGGCGATGAACACTGTCATAAGGACAGACAATATAGTCCTTGAAATTCGGTCCACCAACTTCGTAGTTTTTTGCAGACATTACGAATTTCTTTTTTTATATCTTTTATTTGCTCGAATAAAAACTTTTCGATTGACACGATTAGGTTGTCAACATTTGATATCGTATTGGAAATTATATCGACGTATCGATATTTTTTTGGGCTTCTTAGACGAACTGATTTCGTATCTAAACTTTTGTACATTTTTAAAAACCATAATGGTATAAAAAATACCTATCTATGTATGTTTTTATCGTCAATTTGTATACCCTTGCAGAAAGAATTATAATTTTAGTCGGAAATTTATTTTAATAAATATCATATGGTTCTTTTCAGACATTACTCATTTATGACGTTCTAGGTGAATGGCTATACGAAATAATTTTAGTCCTCAGTACTTTATAACTTTATACCTAAATAAGTTATAAGTTATGAGGAATTTTAAAAGCATTTTTCTAAGTGTGGCATGCAAAATTTGAATCCACGTTGTAAACTGAATACAAACAAAAAGTGGTATGGGGCAGTCACGGAGAGAGCCAACAAAAAGCACAATAAAATGAAGCAAAACTAATTAAATTATATGAAATAGGAATGTAAACAACAAGCTCGAGCTAAAACAAAACAAATAAAACACCCATAAATATTTATCATAAAGAAAAACAAAACGAAACAATTTCACGGTGGAAAAAACACCAGCTTCAGAATCCGTAAATAAATTATTTTAAATATTTGTGCAATTTGTCTAATAAATATTTAAATTATATTTTAAGCATTCAGGCAAGCGTAAATCGTTGGTCATAAATGGTCAGCAAGATAAACTAACAAATAAATAATTTCGTAATTGGATAGTTGGCATTTCAATTAAGACAAACTAGATTGGGGTTTAATAAATGCAATAACTTGTGCATTCACTAAACAAATGATAAAAAATTAGATCAACTAAAATTGTTTTGTCGTTATATTTCGGTTGTTAATATTTTGAATATTTGTTTGAAAGTTAAACTCCTAAATTGGCTTTTTTTCATGGTGTCAAATTGACGTTAATCAAGCCATAAGTCATCAATTTTGTTCTTTTAGAAAGAAATTAAATTTTGAAAATTAGCCTTTTTTTATTTTTTAAAATACCAAACGAATCAACATTTTATTTAATACAATAACATTTATCTGTCAGTATTCTGCTATTAAGCAAGATACATGCAATTTCGGTTGCCGAACAAAGAAATATTGAAAATGGCTGAAGAGATGGCCAAACAAAAGCTTATTATTAATTATTATGATTGCCATTAACCTTAGCTCGTCTGGTTTCTGGCTACCTCAATCACATGGAAATTTTGAATTTTAATTTCCATTCCCATTCAGATTTTTAAGTGCCCCTGAGCCTCCAAACTTCGCGCTATTCTCGAGGGGATTTTCGTTTTTATATAGAAATGTTTGGGGTTCTTTTTCTGTTTGGGTTTAGTCTGGCACTTAAAAATGGTTTTATTTATGGGCTTTTATCATTTCAGCTTTCTCGGGATTTGTGATATGGCCATAAACAAATAATGTGAATTAACTCATAAACAATGCAAATCAGTATTTACGAAAAGTGATCGAAGGAATCCGGGCTCTTGAATTTATTCACCACATTGCCACTGGTACTTGAGACCACTTGGCTCCTCGTGATAAATGGCACTATATCCATCGATCCCATCTATGTACAAATGTACCAAGGCCCCTTCATTTCGAGTCTGCATTTGTTGCTTCTTAGTGCGTCAATAAAGACTTTTCAGCTTCTTAATTGCCATTCAGTCATGAGTAGCAGATACATTTGTCATTTGCTGCAGGCAATTATAAATATTAGGCATGTGTGCGCATATATCATTACTTTATGGAATGTTGTGGTGGATTGACAACTTGCAGCACTTGAGAATATTAACGTTGGGTAATGGAATGGCATTTTCCTTAAGTACTGTGCGAAATAAAAACCATTGGGAAAAGAACAAATTTATATAGAAACCACCATCCCCAAGTTATATTATGTACTACTAACTAGTTTTATAAATATGTAAATATTTTCTGATAATTAAGTTTATTGCTCGGGATATATCCTTTTAAATTTATAATATAACCCCGGGTTGTAGACATCATACATTGGATGCTTCATGATGATGTGCTTGAAATGCCAGCGTTCAGCAAAAAGTGTTAGTATTGAGATCACATAGCCAATAATCAAAGCCACAAAGGAACTCCAGAACTTCTGAATATTCATAAGAGCCTCCTGTTGAGCAGGAGCCTCCGCCGGCAGATGCTGTATGGCATCCTTGAGCCACTTAGATATCAGACCTTTGGGATAAGAGAAAATTATAAGGGGTTTTTAAATACTATAGTGAAATCAACATACCACCCTCTGCCAGATGTTGAATGGAGCTATCAATTCGTTGTTTCAGGGCCGAGTTTTTCTCCATTGCCAGCACTACGGGCATATAGACCACACATTCCTTCATTATATGTAAAGCCGATCCTACTCCGGATCCAGTATCGTCTGCTACTCGTAGATATCGCAAATAGAACTCGTTGTCGTAGAAAGCGCATTGACCTTTGGCTATTCGAGTGGTCTGTGAAATTAGTTTAATCAGAATGAATTTATATCCTATATTTAAATGTTAAAGTGTTTGATTACACATATCTCTAGCATTATAGTTTTACATTACTGTGTATTGTAGAACAGTATTTAAAGTCTAAAGTAACCCAATTAATTCTAATGAAATATTCATTCTGCAATTAAAAAGGTATTTTCTACTAAAAAAGAAAATCATTGAAATAACGTAAAAACATGAAAAACTAAAGCTACAAATGACACTTCTGTCATTAAATTATAAACAGCAAAAACATTTATTTAATGTACTTAATTTTTATTTCATTTTTGTTATTAAAAACATGTTTTTATATAGCCATGACCTGCTTTCTAACCATATTTGTAAACAAATTAGTCTCTTCTAAAGCTATTAAGACACCGGAAAACTTTTCATATCACACTAGATTATTTTGCAGACTTGAAGAATTAATACCTTTAAATTAAAAATGTTGCCAAATACGCTTATCAAGTAGATAAGATATTTTGCCTTTTGAAAACAAGTTAGAACTGGATTTTGTTTTTCTATCTTGTGGTATAAAGTTCATTGCTACGAAATTTGATAAAGCGTGTCATTGTAAATCAAGTAAGTTCATAAGACCCTTTAGACCAGTTCTAATTCGAATCGGACATTTAAAAGTGTTTTGTTCAATGCCCTAGTTATTATTGTCTGATTGGTGAAGAATAGGTTGGATTTTGATAATGGAAATAAATAGAATTTTGTTTAAAAAAACATTTTTTTATTAGTAAATGAACTAAGGATCTTAGATTAATTCAATATATCTTGGGAAGGGAAATCTATTCGTTTGTTGTGTTTACTTAGTAGTATAATTTTGGTAAATTTCTTTATAAATAAATATATCTTACCAGATCATCGCTTTGTCCAATCACCTCCATCTTATCGCCCACTTTTCGAGCAATCTCATCGGTGGCATCTAAGAAAAATTGCCTATTTTCGGTTACTCCAGCAGAGGGTGGAATGTGAGAGGCAAGTAAATCCTCCAGGGTGTCAATAGTTATTCTGAACAAAAGAAAAATATAAGTTTATAAAATGTTATCAAAGATCTCCCTCATACCTAGCTGCTGGATTGGCCAAAATGGCTGTAAAGCTGGCTCTATAAGTGGCCACCAAAAGGATGCAGTAGATCCAGTACCATCCAGTCAATACCCTCAAAGGCCAATTTCGAGGCATTCGGGGTAAAGCCACATATAGGAGCATACTGTACGTGAGCAGGATGCAATTAGTGTAGTCGTCGAAAAGATCGCGAGGACTCCGAGATTCCTTCGAAGGACGATAGCGACTAATGGCGATGCGGAAACTAATTCGGCGATAGGTTTTCAGATCCAAGGCAATTCCACGGTTTCGTCGAAGACAGCGAAAGAATCCCGAGGAAACGTTGCTATTGATAATGGCATTGAGGAAACTAATGGCATAAAAAACAGTGCCCACTATGAAAAGTGAGAGTAGAACACCCGCCCACATTGCACCGCTGAAGGGCAGGATAAAGGTCTGCCATGAGTTGTCCGTCGAGGATTCGGGTGTGAGAAAGGTCAGGCATTCGAAATTGTGCGGCAAACTTAGCTCTACCAACTGCAAATACACCTGGAACTGATGCAAATCCCCAATGGCGAAACGGGCACTGTGAGCAGCCTGTGCAGATTAAAATATTAATAAGTCAACAAGTTGCTAAATAACATATCACAATCATATTTTCCGAGCTCTTTAAATCCCCACTTACCACCTCCTCTATAAGCATGGAGTCAATGCGGGTTTCATTCTGCACGTATCCATCAGGATTACCATTTCCATAGCCATTCTCCAGCTCCCAGTCCATATTTTCACTTTGGTTGGGTCTGTAGTAAACGGGTTTGAAGTTCAACGCCCTGCCCAGGGCATTCATAATCTCCACTTCAACTCCTTGGAAGCTGTTTGTCGTATTCAGCCACAAAACCATGGGCACGTGCTCGGATATGGCCACGGGTATCGAGGCTCCTGGAAAGGAATAGGATTTGCAGGGATCACAAGCTTAAAACTGGGGTAAGATTTTGAACAAATATATTTTGTTCTTAGCGGTTTATGTGTTTATCTTTGAAAATTAATTGAAATTTGAGTGACATCAGCATTATTAGTTCAAAAGTTTTGCAGCCTGTTAACTTATTTGAAGACAAAAACTTACATTTGAATTTATATTTTTAATAGGCATTTTAAAGTTATATTTTTTACTATTTTGTATTATTGGAAAAATTTTATCCTCAGCGGTTTTATTTTTTAAGAGATAATGTTAAATTAAAAGAAGTACTGTTTTTAGTTTTTATTTTAATTTGTTTACTTAACAAATCGCCAGCAATTTAATATTAAAAAAATATTACATTTGAGCACTTTCAACAAGAATTATGGACTATAAAAAATCCTACTTTTTTTGGGTCATTTACAACAATTAATTAATTTGTTATATTTGAAGTTTATTATATTTATTGCCCTTCTTTTCTGCTTTATTTGGTATAAACATTTATAATTCAATTGTCAGTCAAAACTCACCGTATAAATCACTTGTCTTGTCAGCGAACAAAACCCTTCCATTGACACTTTTTCCCGATTCCCAATTGGCGATATTCTTCAAAACCAGAACACCACTCAAAATGCCTGGAAAGGCAATAGTTGAAATGGTGAATCTAATAAAAACATACACATAATTATCAACACCTTACAAATTAAATAAATGTTAATTTTACACCCACTTGTTATCCAAATGTCTCTTGAGAAAAACTGTGCCCACGAAAACACTCCACAGATGGATCATATCCCGCTCGAAAAGTCTAGAATCGTGCAGCAAGATGAACTTTTTCTGCATATTCAGAGATCTATTCTGGTAAATGTATCTCAGAAATCGTTGAACCTGCCAGCCGTTGAGAATGGTGATCAGATTTAGCTCGCAATCGCTGGATTTAAGGGCCTTCACGAAGAGCTCAACTTGCTTAGGAGGCCGCTGGAGATCCTCACTGGCATTAACCCGCATCATGAAGTATGGGACTACTTGACGACCCACCGATTCGAAGAGTAACCGATCATAGATGGGATAATACAGATCATCCGTGATGACACCAAAGCATCTCTTCACATTGGCGGCCCATAAAATTCGCTGGAGCAGTTGTTTCAGATGCATCTCATAACCATTTAGTGGGCTGTCAGTGGGAATTCTCGTGGCCATCGCTAGGGATATGAATGTCCCTGTCAGGACTCCCAGCCAGCGCATCCTTTCGCCGCCGAACACAAACTGCCGGCCACTCTCCATTCCAGCAGTTCGTTAACCTGTTTATGGGGAGCCCTCGAGTCCTCATTGCATATGCAGATCTAATTAAACTTGTCCGAACTCCGTGAACTGGAAGCCCCCGGACTGTCGGCCAGTCTACCAGTCTGCCATTCAGTCAGTTAGTCAGATAGTCAGTTACTCAGTTAGTCAGTTACTCATTGGGCTGCCCGACCTGATTTACTCCACTCGCATTTCAACTTTCCGCCGAGTGGGGTTATCTAATTAAAGTCTTGCAGCCCAGGGGTTAATTAGTTTAACCAGGTAATGTGTTCAAGGTTAGAGGGTGATGTAACGAAAAATCCTTAAAACGAGTTTTAATTGGAATTAACCTCAACATTTTTGGGTTTAACATGTTTTTATATATTAACAAGAAAGGAAACAAACTTGGCCAGCCGATTTATATACTTGTAACTGTTAAAAAATTAAATATTTTATAAGTCGCTTCTAACATTGAAGATAGGACGATTTTCCAATACATTTTTCGAACGCTCCGAATAAAGATTTAAACGTTGACTTTTGGAATTTGTATTTTTAGATAATTAAACGCAAACTTTTCGATATATGCCGCTGTGAAATCGGATATATGTAAGAAAAGTTAAGGGCTGAGCAGTGCAGGTTTTTGGTCACTTTACGACAAAGTTTTTTTCCAAAATTTGAAATGGGGCTACATCATAAAAATGACGAAAAATCGGCAAAAAAAATACAAAAAAAAAGATGAAGATACATATTTTTAGAGAATTAAAACACAATCATTTAGATATATGCCATTTTGAAATTGGATGTCTGTAAGAAAAGTTATGGGCTGAGCAGTGCAGGTTTTTGGTCACTTTTCGACAAAGCCATTTTTCGAAAATTTGGAAAGGAGTTACTTCATAGAAATTACGAAAAATCGACCCAAAAATACATACCAAGATTTAGAAAAAGATTTTTAGAGAATTAAACCATAATCATTTAGAAATATGACAATTTCAATCGGATTTATTACAAAATTTAAGAATGTCTTGTTGCATCAAAAGTTTAATTGTTTAAGAAAAATATATTGTTGCTTTTAAAATGTTAATAACATTTTAGCCCTGCTTATTTTTTAACTGTTTGTATATAAAGTATCTTATTTAATCTATTGCATAAACCGAATAAAAAAATCATAAATTTATGGCCTAGTCATCCCCGGAAACCCTGATAAATTGTCTATACTTGCACAATTCAGATTACCTTAATGCACAATTAACACAACAGAAGGAAACCCAGAAAAAACGGTCATAACCCGATGATAACCTCTCCCAACCAAAATAATGCGATGGCAACCAACTCAATCAAGAATCACAATACATGAAGCAGCAATCAAGCATCATTAAATTTCACTTAATCATTCTACCAATGATTGAGATCTATGGCGAAAGTTTGTTGTTCCGATCCGATGTTGTCACTAATTCGATGACTGACCATTACCCCGCCCAGACAATTGGATCAGACTAATTTATCATAAGACCATAACTAATCCGTCTGTCCGTCTTCATTAGGGGGAAGACACGAGATCGGAGGTTCGGGCCCAAGTCCATCTGATGATACGAGTACTGGTTACTGCCGCTGATGAGATACTGAGATACTGCAGTCGCGAAATCAGCAAATTGCGATCATCCGCAGTCAAGGCCCAGACACTAACGATATAGTAATGCGGACGACGACGTGTCACTGGACATAAGACATTTAGTCCGTCGGTCAGTCAGTCGGTCGGTCGGTTGGTCAGTCACTCAGTCAGCCGATTAAAGCACCAACATCGCCCAGAAGCCGCATTCAAATACCCATTAATGTCAGCTCAAGTCAGCCGGAGAGTCCAAGCCAATCAGCCTGCGGATGTGCCGAGATGTGATGTGATGTGGGCAGGTAACCAGTAACCAGTGACCAGTAACCAGTCTCACTTATACCTATATCCATTCCCGTTCCTTCTGCGCTTTATTGTCGTGTAATTAACTTTTTCCGAATCGTCCGGATTTGGAATTGTTTGCACATAATTGCAATTTAATTATTTTCTCTCGCTCGTTTCCCTTTTCATGTTTTTATGGATTTATGTTGGTCGCGCGGTCTGCTGGCCATTAGCTTGGTAACAGGTAACACCCGGCTCTGGGACCGGGACCGGGACCAGCCCAAAAGACCGATTCCGATGGCCCAAGACCGAACCGCATCCATCTCCATCCAATGTCGGACACCAGGTAGCGCAGAAATCGATTTCAGCCGCCCCCGGACCGATTCCCATGTCCAAGAGTTCAGCCGGTGCCGGGCATTGTCTCTGGACCGGCACTTAGAGAAAATTATATGCCATTCATATGTTCTTAAAATAAAGAACGTACATATTTTTAAAATTTAATAAGAATTATATTGTAAGATTTAAACTAGGTATATAATTTTGTTACATAAATATAGCAACACTTACATATTTGTAAATCGTTAAAGTTGTTCATATCAAAATTCAGTAAAAAGCTTACTAAATATTTTTTGGTCCAACGTACATATTTGAGTATAGTAGATATATTTCAGAATTATTACAATAATAAATATACAAATTAACATGATATATTATACCCAAAAAACTATACTAGATATAACATATAAACTTTTAATATTAGTCAATTGTTTCCAGAATACAAAGAAAATCTTCAAAATTAAAAACGAAGTTGCATTTTCTATTACATTTAAAAGTAATTCATAATATTTAATATTAGTATATTTCAAACAATCGATTTTTTAAATAGTGGTTGAACTAAAATTACAATACTTTAGGTGAGCACAAACAACTTAACTAATTTCAAAGAATTTAGTTATTGCATAAATACAAATATTTATTGTTTAGAAGTTCATAAACAGTACAAATTTACTTAAGGCAGGCTTGCACCTTTTTGGCGCCCAAAACCTGATTTTTTTCTGGAATTTATTTCTTGGAAAGTATGGTAGGTATGGGAATAAAATTTTAGCCAGTTGTAGGGTACAGTTTATTGAAGCTACACAATTTTTTTGAGTGCGATCCAAGCGAAGGGGGGAGGGGGAGTACCCAACAATGGCGGCATGTCCGCGAAATACTCGTCCTCATGGCGGATTTTTTGGAATTTTAAGAAATAATCTGAAACGCAAAAAACGAATATATTCTTAATCTGTACACTTGTTCGCATGGCTTGAACTAGGATTATTGAAAAAACATGAAAAATGCAAAAATTATGAGCTTTTGAAAAAAAAATCGGGTTGTTCCTCATTTTTTCGTCACTTATTATTTTTTTAAATAAACAATTTTTAATATTTTCAAAAGATCCTAGTCTATTCCATGCACATACTTCTGAGGAACATGTATAAAAAATTTCATGACGATTGCTCAATTTTTGCGGCTTGTACGACTTCCGCCAACTCGGAAAACATGGTTTCGAGAAAAACGCGTTTGAAAATTTGCACTATAATGGCAACGCGCTTGACACCGGTCCACCAAACGCTCTATAACTTTCGTAATTCAAGAGATTTCGTCTTGAAATTTTAGGAGAGTAAAATTGAAACATGTATGTATCCGAAACTGCAAAAAAAAAAAAATTTATTTTTTTGACCTCACAAGGTGCAAGCCTGCCTTAAGCTTTGCTCAACCTTTAAAATAATATTAGTTTAAAATGTCAAAAATTAAGAAAAAAAAGTGCATTAAATGTGTAATTAAATTAAAAATAAAATTTTTTCTTCTAGTGTACTCCTAACGAGTGCATCGCATGCGATGGGAACGAGCGGAGATTTCGGCAGGGGAGTGGGAGTAGCAGAGGTAGAAACAGGGTCCAGCCGAGTGGAAAACATTTTGCACTTTTATGGCCCAGATTCACTTGGTCCACGATCCATGGCCAACAAAAATAAAAACAACAACAAAAAGAATGGACCGAGGGCTCGCCGTTGTTGTTTTTGGCCTGGCTCTGTTTGCATTGACACATTTTCTATTTTTGTTTTCCTTGGGAGATTTTCTCAGCAGAATTTATGGGTTCCTTGAGGTTTCCTCTTCGGCTGATCCCCGTGCACATGAGTCGAGAGGATTCGATATGCTTCTGTTTTAATTCCAACAAAATATTTTATGCGAATTTTGCAGTTTATTGTTGTCGACTTTGGCTTAGAGTGTGAAATGTAACAAATTTTCTTTAGCGTGTGCGTGTGCGTGTGCGTGCGCCGGTGTCCTGGGAAATAATTCAACAGTTTTCCCACCTTCTGTTCGGTTGGGCAAGTTTTCCTCTTCGGCAACAATTTTCCCCTGATTTATTGCCCCAGCTGTGGTCCCACATCTTTATCTATCTTGCGGGTGTGTGCTCGTTTCTTTTTTTTTCGCCAGTTAAGCTCTTCAGTTACTTACAGTTTACAGGGCAGGAATGAAATATTCTCCAGTCCATCTAAAGTTTCTTTCTAGTCCATTGACAAAGTTCGGTTCACACGCTCGGGACTGAAAACACATATTTATCTTCCCACTTCTGATTAGTGAATCAGTGGAAACTGGTTTAATATGCAAATCGAATTTTGCCAACTTTATTTATATATATTTCGCTTATGCATATACATTTAATCAATTTACATGTGTCGCTTGCTAATTTATTCTTTAATTGGAACATGTCGATGACAATTTATGTAATCCTCTTAAAATATCAATGCTAATTTTAATTATATTTTCGTTCGGATATTCTCATCGTCAATTTTGTTATCTGATTTATGTTTTCCTTTTCCACCTGAATATGTTCAAGTTTCAACTCTTTAAAAGAAAGTCTTCAATTCCAAAGCAATCAAGCTTTACATTTTCAATGTTGTTTATTTAAAAAGGGGTCACTTGTTTTTTTTTTTGATTGATAAATAGATTTGTAAAAACACTGTTCAATTTGAGAAATGATAGAATTCGTTTTGTATTCTCCTTAAGACAATTACAATTTAATTAAAGACTGAACATA